AATCGTCGACTTGTCTGCCGACGACAACGACGACGACGACGACGACGCGTGGTCTTGCTCTTGTGGTCTGATGTTCTTTTTATCTCTTTTTTCTTTCCGACCGATGATTGATAGTAGGTGTCGGTCACTTCGAGAGCTAATGGTACATATGTGATGCTTTAAAATTCCACTAAGATGGCTGGATAGTTACGACTATGGGAGTATCGCTGCTGGAAAATGTATTCGTGTTGGTAAGTCTTATCATAGCAGGAATTGTGTTCCCCGTGCTAACATGTTATTTAAGATTAGGCTTCTTGATATTGTATTTCCGGTTGTTTATTATAGCTATCCTCTTTCTTGGTGTATGCCCGGCTCCTATTATCTAGGGAGGATATCTCTAAGCTGAGCGTCAAGGTTTTAATAGCACCATATTTTTCTTCCCTTTTTTTCTCCCTGGATAGGAGCTAACTCGGTTAAGTGTTTCGAGGGTTTCCTGGCCCAATCAATATGAGACGAGTATGAAAACTTGACTGGACGAGTTGGATTTCCCATATGCTGATTGAGATGGATTTTAGTTAGTTAGTTGAGTTATGAAGGTAAGGCAGGGCTTTTGATACATTCTAACTACGTAGTATGAGATGCAAGCAGTGTATATTACGGCGAGGCAAGTCAAATTCCAAGATTCTTTGTCCAATACGCCTTGACTACAGTAAGAGCTCTGCCTTTCTCACAGTCGACATTTATAGCAGATCCAAGGACCTGCATCCTATTTAGGCCAAAATATATCTGGCTGAAGACCTACGGTTTTGTATCTCAAGCAAACTATGATAATATATTTCCAGAATTATAAGTTTTTAGAGTCTTCTCCGTACTTCGTAGAAAAGGAGACCTCGTATAGTACCTCTATAGTGACTCTTGTTAAAGCAGAATCTCGACTTGATAAATAAAGAGACGCTTCATTATGTAAACGACAGGATATTAGGATATATCTCGACATATTCTGTCTATGGCGTTCTTGTCTGCTAGAGCTGCCTCCAATATTTCACTTGCTTTTTGTTGATATCTCTTCACATGTCTAGTTGTAATGCACTTCTAAGCTAGAGGATTCTTCATTTTAGGCTCATATACCAACACAGACAAGACGACAATATGCGAAAGGCATAATCTTATATAATACACCGATAGCCTATTATATATTCCGTATGGATGCCTACATGACGTTGAATTAAAGTGCGTGTATGTATGTATTTGCACACGGAATATTTAGAAAGGTACGTAGGTACCAGGTAGATAGGCTACCTGGCTACCTCTACGTAACATATAGGGCCATGAAGATTAGTGGTCGTGTAACCTTAGTGCCTAAGTTTAGGTGGATCTCATGCACGGTGAAATAACTTTTCCATCTCCCGCGGGGAGCTTCCAAAATTTCCAATCTAGGCCATTAAACATCTTCAATATCAGAAGGGCAAGCTTCGCGATACGCCACTTTTCACCGGGAATTCGACAATTTTTATTACTGGTGCGAGTCGATATCGAGTTTATTTTACTCTGGTTTAATTTAATAGCACCGAAATCCAAATATCACGCCAGAGCACCTCTTTCAACATGCAGGCTCCCGTTTTAGTTATGAGTGAGCCCCTCCATGAAGCTAAGCTTGGGCAAAATGTGGGAAATATGTATTAACTATTCCCAACCTAGACACCCAAAGTGGTGATAGACAGACTGGACGAAAAGCTCAGCTGTCTAATATCGCCGCCGCGAAGACGTATGTTTCCTTTTATCCTATTCGAGCCTTAAACTTCCGTCGCTAAACCCTAGCTCTAGCGTTGCCGATATCATTCGATCATGTCTTGGTCCTAAGGCCATGCTGAAGATGCTGTTGGATCCTATGGGCGGTATCGTCCTAACTAACGATGGCCACGCTATCCTACGAGAAATCGAAGTCTCACACCCCGCTGCGAAGAGCATGATCGAACTTAGCAGAACACAAGACGAGGAAGTTGGCGACGGTACCACAACGGTCATTATCTTGGGTTAGTAATATGATAAGTAGTAGAAAGTATGTTCGTGGGGCTGACTATATGCTAGCTGGTGAGATCCTAGCACACGCCCTCCCACAACTAGAGCGAAATATACACCCGGTCGTTATCATTTCCGCTTTCAAGCGCGCTCTCAAGGATGCACTAGAGATCATCGACGAGATATCCTTACCTATCGATATCAACGACGACAAGGCCATGTTTGGCCTGATCTCTTCTTCTATCGGCACCAAGTTCGTTTCGAGATGGTCAGATTTGATGTGCGGTTTAGCTCTTAATGCTGTCCGGACAGTCACTTGGGAGGCAGGAAATGGCAAGCAAGAAGTCGATATTAAGCGATATGCTCGCGTAGAGAAGGTTCCAGGTGGAGAGATCGAGGATAGCAGAGTCTTGGACGGTGTAATGCTCAACAAGGATATTACTCACCCCAAGATGCGAAGGAAGATCGAGAACCCCAGAATCCTTCTTCTCGACTGCCCGCTGGAGTATAAGAAGGGTGAATCTCAAACCAATATTGAAATCACGAAAGAGGAGGACTGGAACCGTATTCTACAGATTGAAGAGGAGCAGGTTAAATCCATGTGCGAGTCTATTCTAGCCTTCAAGCCTGACCTAGTCATTACGGAGAAGGGTGTGTCGGATCTCGCGCAACATTACTTTATGAAGGCGAATATCACCGCGTTGCGTAGAGTTCGAAAGACAGACAACAACAGAATAGCTCGAGCAACCGGCGCGACTATCGTGAACAGGGTAGACGATCTCCAGGAGTCGGATATCGGAACCAAGTGTGGACTATTCGAAATCGAGAAGATTGGCGATGAATACTTCACCTTCCTTACCAAGTGCAAAACCCCCAAAGCATGCACAGTTCTACTTCGAGGACCTTCCAAAGATATCTTGAACGAGATTGAACGAAATCTCCAAGACGCTATGGGAGTAGCTCGAAACGTTATGTTCCACCCCAGACTATCGCCAGGTGGTGGAGCTACGGAGATGGCGGTCTCGGTACGCTTGAACCAACTAGCAAGGAATATCGAAGGCGTACAGCAATGGCCATACAAGGCGGTTGCCGAGGCCTTAGAAGTCATTCCCCGGACGTTAGTACAGAATGCTGGTGCCAGTCCCGTGAGAGTTCTCACCGAGCTCCGTGCTAAGCAAGCAGAAGGCAAGAGTTCGTGGGGTATTAACGGGGACACGGGATCAATCGTGGACATGCAGGAGTATGGCATCTGGGAGCCTGAGGCTATCAAGCTCCAGAGTATCAAGACCGCCATAGAAGTAAGTTTTACCATGATCATTCTGTTTAGAGCGCTTTACTGACTATTATTTTAGGCTGCCTGTCTCTTACTGAGAGTTGACGATATCTGCAGCGCGAAGAAGGCGCAACAAGCGGGAGCACCGGGTCTGGGTGGTGGTGACGATTAAATGGGGGAATAAAATAAAATAATTGATCACGATGTCGAGCAAGCCTACTAGAAGCGGAATATTGAGAGGACATACCCCTGTACGAACGGCTGGTCTAAAAGTCACGAGATAGATGAATTAGATGGCTCTGCTACCATTATTGGTCTGTTCATGTCACTTGTGAGATATTTCCCTATTTGTGGAATGACGAAGCTACGTCGTGTCTTGTCGTGAATGATCGTAACCCCCTTCTAACAAGTAGGCATTTCCTTTTTCCAATTTCAATATTGAATAGGAAAGAGATTTTGTTAGGCATCACTAATCTGATAACTACTACGAAGTTGTTGAGGGAAGTAATACCTTGCTAGTCCCACTATTTCGAGAAGCTATCCCAACTCTCAACTCCTTTAAACTTATATAATTTTCATTGATGTCCACTTTGTAGCACTATATCAAGTAGCCATTGTAAACCTAAACCTAGGTCTCTCTCTCCTTCCTAATGTCAACTCTATATCATTAAAGGATGTTATCTAGGAACATATATAGATATCCCAAGTTGCTTCTATGTTTATTAAGAGGTACTTTGCAACAGCGGCATTATATGATATGTACTTACTTGGTATATAACTTGTATCTTATAAGGGCTTTTTTTAGTCTCTTGCTTATGATTTGTATACTTGATAATTACCTGAAAGTATAATTGAATAGTACATATTCTTCAACGACAACATTACGAGTCTGACTACCTAGGTACGTAGTGAGAATGATAGTGACATGCAATACAAACTCATAACTGAGTCATACGTAATACATAAATTAAACAATGCGGCTCCTTAAGACTTTCCTTCGTCTGGACTCTGGAGTACTAGGCGTGTTTGTAGTTTTTTGCCTTACGTCGTCGTAGTTCTATCTTGTAATGGGTACTGCAGAAGAGTCCAGCCAAGGTATACTAATACTATTCAATGAAGGAACTTCGGATATTAAATTCGGATTAATTATCAACTCAGTTGCATATAGGTAACTTATAAGTGTTAATACCAAATGGCTTAATGGCTTTGCTACGAATATTAGGCATATAAGGTACCTAATGTATGAATTTAGACTATCTGTCGGTATTCTGTGACGAACATCAGGTACATAAAATGTACATACATACATGTATATATCAACGTTACTTATAGGTTAGGCAGTCACGACGAAGACAAACTTTATCTTCTCTTGCTGCCACGCAACTGCCTCAGTACAAAGCGTGTCACGAACTACTCAACGCGTGCTCAGTCCACGTCGTTACTACTCGACTTATTAGCTCATTACACAGCTTCAAACTTTATTTTAAACAGTCGTTCTTTCCTATTCCTCCTTCCAAATAATATATAAACAGCCCTCTAGCCACTAATTCGACATTTTTCTTCCCCCAACAAGCCTTGCCTTACACAATTTAATTTCCATCTCTAATCTTCACCAACAAGAAAAAAACACCTTACTTTAACAAAAGCATCGCCCTTCTCGCCTCCAGGAAACTCTTTTCACAAACATTAAGTTTCTCTTAGGCTATTTGAAACCTACTATCAATTCAGTATGCCTCCTCTCACTAGAAAACGCAAGGCTGAACAAGAAGCCGCAGCACAACAGGCTCCAGTACAGACACAACCGGAGACCAAGCAGTCCGTCGAAGAACCTTCTACAAAACGTCAGAAACTAACTGACCCGTTTAAGAGGACTGACCCCTTCCGCCCGAAAACTCCCCCTCCTAAGACTGTGATTCGCCGTCGCAGCCTGGTAACCAAGTCAAAACAACCGTTGCCAGTAGTGTTCTTTACTGTTCCGGCAACCAACCCTTCTAACCAGATTTCTGCTAGGGGTCGAAGTAGCAACGACTTGAACACAATAATGCTAACTAAGTCTCTATTTGAGCATGCGGAGTAAGTTGTCGCTCATAGCTATTTTCTTTCCTTTCCAACTCTTATATTCAGATCTGTTGCTCGGTACCAAGCAACTACCTTACCGCCTTAGATATCTACCACTCCGCATATATTACTTTTCACACCCCTTTTCGTGCTTCGCTCCGCAACATAACATCTCCTGATGAGTATCGACGCTCACAAATAAAAAAGAACTATATGGCTGTATAGCTAACGAAGTGGAAATAGCAAATATGGCGCTGCTGCATTGCCTACTAGAGAGGCTCTTGATGCCTGGTTAGAAGAAAATAAAGATGTTTTTATCCAGGTTCGAAAAGAAGGATCTAATCAGCAAGCCACTTTAACACAGTCACCAGAAAATTCACCTCGCGCTGCGACTCACCCTGGTGTCTTCCTTGAGACGGCAGCCCCTCAAGCTAACCTTGCAGACAGACATCATGCCCCCCAGCAACACGCCATCCCTGCTGTCCCTGCTACTGACCGAATAATTATCTACAGGGCAATCCGCACCGCTCGTCACACTGCGGCCCATATCTTGAGTCAAGCTGCTGCAATCCTTGAGGGCCCAGCGGTAGAGCTAGGTATTGTGCACGAGGAAGAGCAGCAGATTCGGCAGCGGCCGGTGCCTGCAGAGGCGATAACAATCCATAGGGAAGTAGAGAAGAGAGAAGACGATAGCGCCCAAGAAAAGGAAATTACAGCAGTCAAAACTAAGACAGAGCCCATCCGGGTGAGACCAGTGGCACCACCGTTAGACACGCGTTTCTTTCATCCAAATGGCCAGTTGCAGTCCGTATATCGGTATCTGACAGCGCAAATCCCACTACCAAGACAATGGGTGAGATGGGCTCTTAGCAACGGAATCAACAAAGTGCCAGGGCGCGGAGATATCCGCGATCCTGGGGTATATGTCGCAGATGATACATTCGACTACGACGCCCTGTTTGAGGCGGTTCATCGCGGTTGTTTTCGGACCGGTCGGTTCGAGATCGACGGGTTTAGCGAGTACTGGCCCATGGTGCGAGGACATAGAGACAGCACGACGGTAGATCTAGCATTACATCACCTCCCGACTCACCTATCGTCGCTCGAGCGTACGGAGCTTGATGAGCAAGAAGTACAGAAGTCAAATACACCAACGCCAGAGCCCGCTCCTGTATTAGAGACAGGGATGATACCTATTTCCCATGTTGGGTAGTGATAAGAACGGATTGACAAGTCAACTAAATATATAGACGAACTCGTTCCAAATCCCAAAACAGTACTACTGATACTATTATATATTCATCGCCATAGTGGACAATCATGGCGGTCTAATTATCTAAAATCAAGCGTAATGCCGCTGCAGGAGACACAGATCGTCTTCGCCACCCTGGCCGCCCCCCGTGAGACCTTCTTGAGAAACGAGTTCTAGCCTACCCTAGTCATCATGAACGAGAACGCTCGCATGAGAGAGCTCACTACCGTCATGTGCATCTCTTATTTCCCTACGGCTAAGCTGTTCATGTTACTTGGAGATCCTCGGCAGCTACCGAGGAGGCATAACGACGCCCTTCGACTCACAGATTAGCATCATTACGTCTCTACCTGTCATTGTAGAAGACATTTGGACCCGACGATACTTGCGTCACGCGGTCCGGAAAAGGTCGAATTGGATTTGGAGGATTATCTGATAACTGTGTCACACAGGGGTTACATTTTAACTAACTGGCTTGAGGATTATATATCCTTGATGAAAATATCTATACTAGCGAAAGAGCTGCACGTCTAACTATCACGGGAAAGTAAGAACGTACAGAGCCGAAGCAGTCAAGATTAGAAAACTATGAAAGATACTTGGAAACTTTTTTCGATGTCTTAAATACCAAAAACTTATACTAGCTAGTTCTTCTACATATATTCTCATCGACTAGGCCCCCATACCCGCTAGTGACGTTCTCATTAACTAAACCCTCGTATCTGCTACTTCTTCCGCAGGCATTCCTGTCAAAGCGATGTGGTATATGGGGTGCGTTGAGCTTCTTACTGCATTCACTAACTACTAAGATACTCCGGTCGGTACTAATGAAGACGTTGAGACCGGATTTGTATGACCGGGACTTTTCTACTAGGGCTAATCGTAAGAACGCCTTCAAGGAGCCGTATTGGTTGCCGCAGTTTCCTCTACAAAGTTTCTGAGATAGTGAAACATTGCACCTCGTGGATCATAGCGTATCTGATAACACATATCACATTGAAGATAAAATAAGCAATGTTAGCAACGGCGCACTAGCGACGCAAAAACTGAAGTAGGTTATCGCAAGGGATTCTGGAGGCCTAATCTGACACTAAAAAGAACTCGCAAAATGGGAACAGAGAAACCTGCTATAATGTAGATCATAACGTGGTCATCGTAACATTTACATGTATCATAACACTTTGATAGAGGAAATCCACTTTGATAGAGGAAATCAACATAGCTGAGCTTAGTTTTTAGATTGAATAGGCGCATATGGCTAATAGAGGAGTTTTGGATATATGCACTCTCATTATTAAATACCAAAGCTACTGATATGATGGGCTGTTTAATTTGACATGGGTAAGTAAGTAGAAGATAGTTGTTGTGATGTGTGATGATATTGTCGTAGAAAAGGGGGGGGGGGCTCCCGGCTGAAAAGGGGTTGGATAAGGAATCCAACCTTCCACTCCCCTCCTAAACCCTCCTCCCCTGCCCCGTCCGCCTGCCTACATCCCTCCCAGTCCCGGGCCCAACGCCAAACCAGATCTCCCTAGATCTCTTGGCGCCTTCCCACAGCGGTTGGGCGGTATCGACTTGCGTGTTGTTGCGTGTGGTGTTAGTTTCGCGACGAGAAGATTTCTGCGGGAGGGGGAGAGACGGAGAGGAGGAAGAAGGAGACGATGATGATGATAATAGAGCTCTCTGGCGCGATTGCTGCGCTGCGATGTACGAGGGCGCTAGATGTGCTACGTGGTTGATGTGGAAGGGTCTTGGGTTGGGGGGGTTGGATGATGATGAGAAGAGGGGTGGTGGTAGTGTTGATGCGGCCGGCGCATCGTTATCATTGTTATCATTGTTATTATCATTATTGTTATTATTGTTATTATTGTCGTTGTCGTTGTCGTTGTCGTTGTTGCTGTTGTCGTTGGTAGGAATGGCATCTTCGCCCCTGAGATATCGCATCCTTTCCTCGAGGAGTCTGGCCTGCTGCTCTCCGAGGAGTTCTACGAGTAGATCCTCCGGGATCTGGTGAGCGGTGTTATTGTCGTTGTCGTTGTTATTGTTATTGTTGACTTCCTGGTGCTCTTGGGCTTGGTTGTTGGTGGGAGTGGATTCTCTGGGTTTGGCTGGTTCGCCGCCTAGGTTGGGGTACGGGACTGCTTCGCCTTGGCTAACTTGCTGCTGCTGCTGTTGCTCTTGTTGCTGTTGCTGCTGCTCTTGCTCTTGCTCTTGCTGCTTCTCGGCTTGGTCGATTTCCGCCTCAAAGGTATCTAGTTGCTTCCTCTCCACCCCCGAGGCAGGATACACCATGGCGCCGGCACGCCCCAGGAAATCGCTTACCCGTTTGTGCACGCGGTATACCTGATTCCGCCACTGACTCGTCGGCCCTAGAACATCACTACCCTGTCGTGTATCTCGCTCATCCTGAGCGCTGGGCAAAACTACCCCATTATCAAGATTAAGCAGACGATCCAACGTGTTCCGCCTCTGCTTTTGTCTTACCTCCGCCACGCTCCTCGCCCTCGCCCTCGGCCTCTGTACATTCGACCTACGGCGATGAAGCGCGCTCGACCGCTTCACCTGGACGAAGCCATCCTTATGTTTCTCCAGCCACGAAGTAGACGACTCTTCCTTCGATGGCACATCTGGTTTGTGGCCGCTGTCCTGTGGATTCTTGAGCTGACTAGCAGCTATATTGAAATTGGCCACATGTGGAGTTCTAGGCTGCACATCCTTCTGTTCCGTCACTGATTTCGCCATCGATGTAGTGTTTAAATACTCTGTCCAGGTGGTTTTGGGGTCGGCACATACGAAGCTATGATACGCCCATGGTTGTTGGCCATACAGCTTGTTATGTAAAGAATCCCACCACTGGTCAGCCATGATAAAAAGATATAAGAATTAGAGAAGCAAAAAGTCAAATTTTGATCGTAGAATATTCGAATGGAAATCCTGGTAGAAACCAGGGGTTTCTGCAATAAGTGACCTAAGGGTCTTAAAAGGTCTAGGAGCCATGGATTGTATGAGAAGGTATTCAGATTCGTAGCTTTGTTCTTTGCATCTCGGCGCTTGTGGACATGAATAACAAAGGGGACATGTCAATGACTGCAAGTTACTTAGCCCCTAACTACGACAATGGTCATATCAAGCGTTAAAATGATAATAGCATATTTCTTTCAAGATAATAGGAGCTCATAAAGAACAAAGATATTGTGTATTGTAAACGCTTCATTGGACCATTCTATTCGATATATGCGCTAGTCATAAAGGGTATCACCAATATGAAAATGAGTAACACATACTATGAAACCGATCAAATCCTTCTTCAAAGCCTAGTATACGCTTCCTCGAATACTCTTATCCTCTTGCTCAGCCTTATCTAGGTCCTCAGCCTCGTCGCCGCCGTCCGATCCTTGGTCGGAGTTGTTAGGCGCATCGCCAAGCTTATTTGCGTGCGCGTGACGGGTAGTCGAGGGCTCTCTGCCATTAGTTATTAACCCGCTCCTCTCGCCGTTCCTAACACGCGCGGCCTTGGCGGCGAGACGTTCGCGAGCGTCGTTCTCTGAAACTTCCTCTTCGCTAGCATGTCCTGAGTAAGTACCTCCGAAGTCACGACCGAGGTGAAGAAATGTCGATTTTTGGGGAGTTTTGAGCGCGTTGCGCAGCCGATCATCTATCGTTATGTATGATGGCGTTCCGTCCGGCGAGGAAACAACCTCTTCTTGAGCCTTAGTAACGTCGATATGCGGAAGGGCTCTACTGCGAGGATCATCCGAGTCATCATCGGAATTGTTTGGGCCTTGAATTCTCTTAGCTGGGCTTCTTCGGCTGGCTATAGTGCCATTAACCTCAGGAGAAATATGAGTGAGAGCATGCTTAGCACTGTTTTCGTCGTGTTGCCGTAGCTCAGCCAAATCACCGCGTATCTTAAAATTCTTGCCGTGATCACAGCCTTGAGGACAACCACCCCACTTGCGTGGCAGAGCAGGGGTGTGGCTATGTTTCTCAGCCTTGCCAGGTTCCTTTTCCTTCCCGGTGTCAGCTAATTCCTTATCCTCCTTGGCCTTGATGGCAGCTCGTTCGCGTCGTAGCTCAGACCACGTCCGGAGTTTGTTCTCGAGGTCATATTTACCACTGTCTACCTGTTTCTTCATGATGAGAAACTCGCAATGGTTCACGTTGCGCAGGTCTTCAAAATACTCGACGGATAAATGATACCACTTCATCAAAAAAACGCGAGACATGAGACCGTGGGTAACTAGTTTCAAGGTTAGCGGCGAGAACATTTATTTATATCATAGTAAAATAGTTGTATACCTAGGACGCAGACGCTGGCGAAGTCGTCCTCTCCGAACTGACGCCATAAGCTCTCGTTGAAACCTGAGACACGATCATAAGCATCGGCGGCGCTCTCGCCGTTGGGAATACGGTAGAAGAAATGGCCGTAATCGGCACGCTCTTGCCACATGCGTTCCATCTCGGCACTGCACGGTTGGAAGTTTCCAAAGTCCTGCTCACGCAACCGTGGCTCCTCGTATACCTTCATGTTGCTTCTCTTAAAAGGCGAGGGGTCGGGATCGTCTGACGTCAGGGTTTCTAAAATACCCTCGGTAGTCTCTCTCGTCCGTCGGTACGGAGAGGTATAGAACTGGAGGGTGTCGTCTGGACGGAGTAGGGCTCGTAATCGACGACCGGCGTCGCGGGCTTGCTGCCATCCGTCTTGGGTCAACTTGACTCTATGATCGGGGATGGTCTGGTGGATCTCGCGGTTTTCTATAGTCGTAGCTGTCAGTATTGGGGTTTGGCAAGTATTTGGGCAGAAGTGGCGACATACTGTTGCCCTCAGACTGGGCGTGTCTGATTAATATAATGAGTCTTGGACGACCCATGATTGCTGATATTGGATCCTAGAGATATATATATAGTTTCCTACAATGGCCCTACGACGGTGCTATGCTTCAAGATAGTAAAGTAAATGTCGATTTGCTAGGTCGGGTACTAAAGAAAAGTTGAAGCTGGAAAGAGTCGACGGGGGTTTCGTTCAGAAAGGCTAGGGTTAGATATATATTTCTAGAGTTTTTGTGGCAAATCACTCTATCGAGCGAACAGCGGGACAAGTTGGATTCTTGGACTAAGTCAAATGATTTGAAATCATGGATAATATACACTCTCGTATTTTAATTATTCCTCTCGCTCTCTTTGCAGCATCAGGCTGAGTTAAGTGAGTGAGTGAGATATAAAATGATAGGTTGTTGATTGTAGACGTGGTTGTATGGTTGTATGCTGTATGTGGTTGTTGTACAAGTTACTTTAAGAGTGATATGTAAGAATGTATAATATAGATTTTATACCTAAATAATAAAGTAGATTTTACCGGCTTAAGAAGGATCGAGGTAGGAGGGAGCCAAGAATGCAGGTAGGGCCTTGACGCTTTTCTTGACTCTGCACTATGTCAGGTAGGAACCGTGCATGGGTTTTGGTTGGAGGGGAAGAAAGCCTTTGAAACAAGCTGTCGGGACTCCCCTGTAAGCTGTAAATATAGTTTGTTGATTGGTCAAAAGTTTAACCCCTCCATCTGACCGACCAATGAACCCGATTTCGGCTCTAGTATTGGGTTACGCTTGAGGTACCTTTAGCAAGATGATGCAGGGCCATCTGTGGAAGGTACACCCGGTGGGGTTACTTGTTACTAGTGCCGGACTGGCGTGGTATTACCATCCAAGTAATAGAGTTCCACTCTTTTTTTTATCTTTGCCGTGTAGCCTCATCGGCATCTTCCATCATAGGGTAAGCATCATCAAAATCACCTGTCACAATTTCAGCCTCGTGGTAAAACACGCTATCACAGCCGTTTTTTTCATATCAATCAACTACATCCGTGCCATTCCTTCTCGATCTAATTCTACCTCTTACATACTTGCCGACGCACCTAAAATCTCCTATTCCTTACTATTGCCAGAAAAGGCGTTCGTGTCACGCCACCAACATACGACGCCGTTCCCCGAATCACCAGAGCTTACCCTCCCGTCGGAACCAACGACGGCAGAAGATAGGGAAGGAGGAGGGTCCGCGCCAATCGAACACGTAGCTAGTCAGCTAGCCAGGAACAAGCCAGATCGTCCTGGCCTAGACCGATAGCCAAAAAAACAACAAGCAACCGGACCCGCGCGAAAGAGTCAAAATGTCAGGCGAGGGCCCCGAAAGCATCCCGACGTCCGCGGACCCGCGCTCCAAGCGTCCTACCAAGAAGCGCGCCCTGACGCCCGTCTCAGCCCAAGCCAACGTCGTAGAAGCGCTCTTCTCCAAACCCGACCAAGAGATCCGGATCCCCGACGCGTCTGCGGTGTCGCGCAAGCGAGACCTGCCGCCGCCCCCGGAGATCGTGACCAACGTCCAGGGATCAAGCGCGGGAGCTGGCTCGGGCGAGTTCCACGTGTACAAGGCGAGCCGGCGGCGCGAGTACGAGCGGCTACGGCGCATGGACGAGGAAGTGTCGCAGGAGAAGGCCAAAGAAGAGTTTGAGAAGAGCCGCGAGGAGAGGGAGAAGCGCGACGATGAGAAGACGAGGAGGAATAGGGAGAAGCGCGAGAAAGCTAAGGCGAGGAAGGCCAAGGTTAAGAATGGTAGTGGTGGTGGCGGTGCGGCGGAAAAGAAAGATGATGGTGGTAATAAGCCTGTGGCTACCGTTGCACCGTTATCAAAAGGTGTCAAGGCTAGGGCTGATGCGAAGAAGGACGATACGGTAGAGACGGAGAAGAAGACGAGTGGTGAGACGCCTGCAAAAGAGGATGATGATGCGCCGGTAGAGGAGCCGAAGGGTATCGTTATCGAGGAAGATTGAGGAATAAGGTGTGAAGAATTGGAATTAATATATACCTAGATACCCAACCAATCAATAATCTCAAGTGAGAAAGAAGCTTAAAAAGTTTCGATTACATATGTGCTTAGAGGAAAAGAAGTCTGCGTTACTTCAACAATTAGCATCACACGACCTGCGCATACCAGTATAATTGTATTCTAGCATTGTAGCATCATTTCCATGTAATAATTAAAAATCAAAAATAAAATAATAATTCTCCGGTATCATGATTGGTATCGAATTTGATAACTATGCCCACAAAATTGAAACTAAGTGATATCGCTCTCATCAGGCTTCCCTACCCATAAATAAATAAACAAAAAAGACATGCAAATCCTGAACTCCTTTATCGGATGAACATCTCGTCAAGAAGAACGAGTGGCCGGGAAGTCTCTCCTTCTGCCAGCCATTCCTCGAAAGCCATTTCTAGCTAAACCAATAAACCGCTTTTTCCTCCTCTATCAAACATACCCTCTGTAAAGCCGTTAAGTCATGAATGATGAATGATGAATGCTACCGGACGGGTTTGGCCGTATCGACTGATGGCCGGCCTGCATTTGTACAAATTCCTCCTAGTAGAGCGTCGCAGATCCCGTAACCGTATGTGAACCTTGGGTCTTGGCCTATGCTCTACCCTATCCTAGTGGTACACGTCCCGTTCAGCAGAAAATACAAATATTTTTAAATCTCCAACCTCGACCACCCGACAATGTAATCGTGGTATACAACGCTGTCCCTTTTTAAAAAACTCTATCTCCTGGGAACGCCATGCAGATGCATCCACCATGTCTTGAAAGCAGCGATTGCTAAGGACCAACTGTCCGCCGACAGCAGAGGGATCAGAAGAATTTCGACATCGCCGTGCTAAGGTCAACAAAGTCGACCGGTTTCGTCACATAATCGCTAAAGCCAGCCGCCGCGCACTTCTCTTGTACGTCGGACATGACATTCGCCGATAGGGCGATGATAGGTAACTTCCGATAGTTGGTCTGCGCCTCCCACTGTCGAATCTCCCGGCAAGCCTGGTAGCCATCTTTACGAGGCATATGAAGGTCGCACTGTCACACAATAGTCAGCTTGCTATCACATCGAACTGGTATCATGAATGTTAAACTTACCAATATTAGAGAGTAGTGATTTGGCGGGTGTGCGAACACTTTCTCGGTGCATTCAACACCGTCAGCGGCAATTTCCGCCTCGATGCCCACTTTGTTGAGATATCTGACCAGTACTTTTTGGTTGACCGGGTTGTCTTCGACAAGAAGCACCTTGTACCCCTTATTACCAATCCGCTTCTCCACGTCCAAATAGCTTTGTTTCTGACTCTCCACCATTTGTGCAGCGCTGGAACGGTTCAAATCCACACTCAGGTCCCGCTCTTTCCCTGGATCGAAAATTACCGCAAACCGGGATGGTTTCACGGGTTTATATACAAACATCATTCGTTTTTCTTCTAAAAGCTTCTGGTGCTCAGGATCTGATGCTAGCCTAAGAACTGCCTGTCTCTGAACAGAGTCCGTCAAGACTAAGACCGATGTCTTACCGCCAGAGCTTGCGATTATTTTATCAATAACTCCTATAATCTCTTCGGCTGAGGATAGGTTAAGAACAACATGGGTAAAGGTGACAGATTCGTGTCCGCCGATTACCTCTTCAGCCTCCGCCACGCTTGCCATTGCCGTTATTTGATGTGGAACGTCTTTTGGCAACGTCATTTCGATATGATTCGTCGTAGCTTCCCTGCTATATTTTTGAGGGCAGATAATGAGGATCGAATACATTGGTGGACGGAATTGTGCCAACCCTATGGGGAATTTAGACCCATCCGGAGTAGGTACCATTTGAGGTGACATCTTTCTTAAAGGCATCTCTAATCTCATCTGGGAGAGATCTTGCCCACTGGCTTTTGCGGCTTCGCTGAAGTGCGTGAGACCGACATTAACTGACGAGATTGATGATCTTGTAGTAGTTAGACTACGAATGGACCGAACCGAAGGATCCGAGCTGGCAGATGACTCGGCGGCAACGGGCGATGTAATATCGGTATCCGAGCTAGGACTAGCAGTCGGAGCGGACTCCAACGTTCTCTGTAACAGAAGAGGCTTAATCAAATGCGTTGGCTTCTCTTCTACCGGAGATCGTATGGACGCGGTCATTGGTGGAGTGCTGGCCACGTGAGGATGGTCATCGGCGCTGGGTAAACCAAACTTGGCAGTAAATGTGAACGTCGAACCCTCCCCAGGTACAGCACTACCGTCCATTTGCCCTCCGTGAAGCTCTACGAGCTGTCTTGAAATTACGAGGCCCAGCCCACTCCCACCATGTTGTCGGGTGCTGCTTCCATCAATTTGACTAAAGGGTTTAAATATAAGTTCGGCTTCTTCTTTGGAAAAGCCTCGGCCGGTGTCGATGATCGAGAACTCGAGCATAATCTGGTTCTCGGAAAGATTGGCCTCGCTGCTGGAATAGACTCTACACCGGCTGAAGACTTCACCGACGCTGGTAAACTTGATAGCGTTACCTATGACATTAAGAAGTACTTGTCGAATTCGAACCCTATCGCCTTTGACCCAAGAAGGTACATTTTCCTCCACGATATAGTTAAGTTCGAGCCGCTTCGCGATCGCCATTGTCGACACCAATTCGTTGACATCCTCAATTAGGGATCTAGTGTGAAACCATTCGAAATTTAGCTTCATCATGCCGGCATCGACCTTAGACAAGTCCAGTATGTCGTTTATAATCATGAGCAGACTGTTGGCGCTTGTCTGGATCGTATTTGTATAATCTCTCTGCTCTTCGTTGAGCGTCGTGTCCTGTAAAAAGCTCACCATTCCAGAGATACCAATAAGCGGTGTGCGGATCTCATGGGACATATTGCTGAGGAATCTGCCCTTAGATTCCATAGCCTCCTTTAACTTCTCTTCCAACAGCTTGTGATCGTTAATATCGGTCGCCGAGCCGAAGTAGGAACTTGCAGCACTGCCGAAGCCAACGTCGTCGATTTCCACACATCTAATCAAATGCCATCGGTATTCACCGGACTTAGATCTAAGTCGCACCTCGGTTGTGTAAGAAAGCCGCCCGTTGCTATCTGTCGCAACTTTGAGGATTCCTTGCTTGAAAAGATCCCCTAGATCTGCTGTGACAAATTCACGAGCCGAGCTGAAACTGCTTTTTCGAGACGGACCCAGGCTGCCCATTGGTACGCCTATGGGCGTCGCGTTGAGCTCCGTCGACGTAGGATCTCGAAAAGGTAGATCGGGCGTATTCTCTCTGACGGAGAACTCCGCTGTTGAGCGTTCTACCGGTAGTCGACACTTCGCCAAATCGTCCGGGTGTACAAAATCTATGAATCCCAATCCCAACGCATCCTCCTCGCTCTGGCCGGTGTAAGATAGCCATTGTTCGTTCGCGAATGTGATCCCGTCGTTTTCAGTTGCGGTAAATATTATCTGCGGAATCAAGTTCGCTAAAAGACGGTGTTTCGCTTCCGAGACTTCGATCTCCTCTTGACGCAGTGCCATTAGCTCGGCAACTTTCTGATCATGGATATCCATGTAGGAGCCGATGAATTGTACTATAACCCCTCGCCTATCACGAGAGGCCACCGCACGAGCTTGGTGCCATCGATACGCACCGTCAAAGCGACGAAGGCGGACGGTATGGGCGAATTGGTCGCCCGACCGAAGGGAATGTGTCCACGCACGCATGTATTCTTCACGATCCTCTGGGTGTAAACTCCCCCAAGGATCCGCAACCAAGTCTGCAAGAGTCTGGCCTCTATAAGTTAAATATCTACTATTAACCCAAACAATCTCCCCGTGCACCGGTAATGCAACAAACACGTGCACCGGTAATAAGTCTAGCATAAGTCCTTTTAGTCGGTCCGAAGGCGGGAGCATGGTTACATGCGGTGCAGACGCAGACGTGGATCGAATCGGCGTTGTGCACTGTGACGTAGGTTTTGTGAGCAAAGATGTGCTGGGCGGTAAGGACTGAAAGGTTGCCGAGAAGTCGCCGCCGTACGAGTGTAGCATAGTATGCTTATGACCGCCAGATGATATACTCTGACCAGACAACCGCTTCCGACTGTCGTCGACATCCGACCGTAATTGCTGACTTTCCGTACCAATATTAACATCTGAAAAGTCCTTTGACGTGGGCCTTGGCTTGGATATTTGATTGATCACTACCTCATCAAAAGGATCGACATTACGGGATATAATCTCCGAGGATTCGGCTTCCTTCTCAATTGAGCTCAGGTCTTGCTGGTGTTGAAGAAGACTTCCTGATCGTCTGAGCTGCTTACCAAAGGTCAGGCCGCCTTCCTTATTGCCTACTCGAGGAACACGCTGAGTTAACGATCCTGGAGTTGGTGGCTCCGCGGGAGTCCCTCCGTTTCTAGGGACCGAACTGAAATAGCTGTCACCTCCCGGCTGGCCGGGGCTGGTACCGGCAGTTCGCCTCTCAACGAATAATCCAAAAGAGCTAGAGTCCCAGAGAGGAGTCCCACTAGGTGAAGCGTTGATACTTCTTGATGGGCCAGAGTATTCGCTGGGGCTAGTAAGGCTTCCAGTAACCGACCGTTGAGACACATCTTCAGGCGTCGCAGCATTAAAATGAGCGAGCATAACAGGGTCCACTACTGGTCGTCCATCAGGACCAATGGCACCAAAGCCACTGGTAGAGGGTCTTTTCCGATGAAGGCCCATTACTTCTGTCTCGAGAGTTGAATAATGTCGACAAAGAGAGAAAGTCGCCGCTAAATGAGGTGCCAGGTGTTCAAGAGAGTGGCGCAAGTTGGAGGGATAGGGTATAATAGGGGTTAAGATCGACAATATCGCAATAGGCAAATGTTTGTTCTTCTTGGCTAATTCCTCGGTAGATGGGCGCTCATGTAACATAGCAGAATTTACATTCGGTTCGGTATGGCCCCGCTGAGAAGCCTTCTGTTCTAACGCAGAGGGGTCTAACTTGAA